ATGAAGTTAAATGTGCTTAAACACACTTATTCAAACATAAACTAGACAAACATGACTTTTAGCAGCAAGCAATTTACTCACAGAATACTTAAGTAAATGTTGTGAATTCAATATCAAATGTTATATTCATAAACTTGTAACTTAAAACTCATTTACCTCAAAATTAGGGACTTATGAAAACCTCAAGTTTAATAATAAAGGCCTAAATCTGTCAGTCAGCAGCTCTAGAAGCAGTTGTGTGAAGTTTTAAATTCTCACGTTTAATTTCCGTTCTTTACAGTCTCTTGCCTGATCTATCACCATAGACTTTCAACTCTCTTCCCAATCCCCTTTTAGCTCTTCCAAGGGGACAGAAAGATCTCAGAACTAAAATCTGATCACGTTACACCTGGTTCCCAAGGCAAAGTGTCCCACCTGTGCCCACTCCACCTAAGCCACCACAGTTCTCAGATGAGCCCGCCTCCCTCCCACCATGGGCCTTTGTTCCTGCAGGTCCCCTTCTGGAATGCAATTACCCCTACACCCACATAGTTAGCTTTTTAATATCTGATATCAGCTTGAAAATAATCTCCTCAGAGATTCTCTCCCTGAATCCCCATCTGGGTCAGATCTACTCGGTATATGATCTCCTGGCACTCTGCTATTGACTATCACAGTCGTAATTTCACTTTTTACATGATCATTTGGTTATCTTCACAAGGCAGCAAGCAACCAGACTGATTTTGCTCAGTCCTTGGGTCCAGGAGCTACTTAAATTTTTTTTTAAATAAATTAATAATTGAATTGCTAGAGTTTCAAAATAATTTTGCAATCCTTTATATGGTGCTTTTTGTCCATGGAGATGTGTGAGCGCTTAACTACTCTACTAAACAAGAAAATCAAAGCCCAGTTGGAGGATGGGGTTATAGCTGTGGTTGGGGAGACTAGTGGGATGTCACCCCAACACAGTGTGCAAGACAGTACAAGTCTCATTAAGAAGCCATTAGTGTTCCTTGTATAGCTTTTGATGATAAATGTAAAAATGCCACAAAAGAATACTAAAACTAGATGTATTTTAAAAGCCTTTAGTAAAGATGATGTAGAAAAACTATTCAAAATGGCAACCATATAAGTGAGTTCTCCCAAAGTTCCCCATTCTGATTTTCAAGATATCAGACTTTCCCAACTAGCACCTCAACTTTCAGATCAGAAACCTGGTGAGGCCATGGACACATCCTGTATTTTCTTCCTCTTTTTTATTTATTTGACACAGAGAGAGAGAGAGACAGGGCACAAGTGGGGGCAGCTGCAGGCAGAGGCAGAGGAAGAAGCAGACTCCCCTCTGAGCAGGGAGCCCGACGTGGGGCTCCATCCCAGGACCCCAGGATCATGACCTGAGCCGAAGACAGATGCTTCGCCCACTGAGCCCCCCAAGGTGCCTCGATAGCCTACGTTTTAACTGAGCCACCCGAGGAACCAAACTCCAGTTTTTGTTAAAATCCAGGGACGGTTTTTAGGGTTGTTGTAGTTTTGACTCTATCAGTGACCCCAACGCCTTGCTTCTCTGCTCACAATAGTAGGAAAGAGGCAGTCTACCCCAGGGACCCACACAGAACAATCTACTGCAAACACACGCGGTTTCTGGTTATTTCGATGCTGCAGAGCTGTGTTTCAAATGTCTGAAAGCTGTAAGTAGATGCTGTCATGCCGTGGTGCCCTGCCATACCTAGTGGCTCTGTTTTGGGACAGTTGTCTACGCTGGTGTGTGTAGCTCTGCTTCAGTCACTGACAGCTGTGTGGTAACCCTTTGAGTTCTGTTTTCCATTTGACTGTTTCCAGTCATGCTGCAATGAAGTCTTTCCTATCTCCTATGTGTCCGTTTTCTCGGGGTACTTGATTACTTACTGCCTCCCTGAATATATGCCGTACCTTCTAGGCTTGTTGCCTCTGTGTAAGCTGCCAAGATGCTCCTGGACTTTGCACAAGCTGCCCTGGGGAGGATGAGAAGCAGAAATCATTCACTGCTCAGAGAACCGGGGGTACTGGTGCACCTTCTGCACTAATTAATTTCCACTTGAATAAAGCAATGCGTGCAGCAATGAGGCAGGTCCGGTAGCCGCACAGATCCAGCCTTGAAGCCACGTCCTCTGGATGAGACAGGACTCTGAGCAACCTAACCTTTACTTTCCTTCTCTGCACACTAGCTACTGGCAGGTGGTTGGAAGGATTTGAGAAAAAGGCTTGTAAATCACTTAGTTCAGGCTGAGGTAGACAGTAGGTACAAAATAAGACATAAACTTATAAAAACAACACATTTACAGCACTACTACAGGGTAAGTTTACAAATGTGGGATGTAATTTTCTTTGCTTATTTTTCAGCAGCTAATAAAGCTTTATCAACAAGATGTAATTCACATGCTACACAATTAACCAATTAACACAATTCAGTGGTTTTTGGTATATCTACAGATGTGTGCCACCATCACCATAACCACTCTTAGAACGTTTTCATTATCTCAGGAAGAAACCCCATACCCATCAGCTATCACCTCCCTCTGTCCCCCTCCCCCTAACCACTAATTTACTTTCTGTCTCTATGAATTGCTTATTCCGGGCATTTCATAAAAATGGGAATCATACGATATGTGGTGCCTAGTCTCTCACCCTCATGTTTTCAAGGTTCAACATACTGTACATCAGTACTTCATGTCTTAGCACCAAATAACATCCCATTATACAGATGGATATTTTGTTTACCCATTCTGCAGCTGATGGACATGCAAGTCATCTCCTCATTTTCCAAAGGGTTGCCCGTACTCCTCTCCCCGAGCAGGGTCTGAGTCATCCAGTTTCTCCGTGTCCTTGACTCTTTCAATAATCAGACCCTTTAGGGGCTCCTGGGTGGCTCAGTGGGTAAAGCCTCTGCCTTCAGCTCAGGGTCCTGGGATCGAGCCCCGCATCAGGCTCTCTGCTCGCCAGGGAGCCTGCTTCCCCCTCTCTGTCAAATAAATAAATAAAATCTTAAAAAAAAAAAAAAAATCAGACCCTTTGGATCTAGTCACACCACCCCAATGGGTGGGAAGTGGCATCTGCAGGTTTTGATTTGCATTTCCTTGATGCCAAAAAAGTGAGTTTGTCATGGGATCCTCGGCTGTTCTCTCTTGAAGAAACATCAGAAGTAGAACACTGAATGTCTGTGTGCCAGGTACCTGGGGTCACGATGAGTTTTCCACTCACCCCTCATCTGTCAGGGCACTGTACTCCCTATTTCATAGGTGGGAAATTAAGGCTGGAGCAATGCAGTAAATCTGCTTTGGAGTTTTAGATCTACTTCAAGCGCGCCTCGTGTGCATGTGCTGGTCTGCACTCGTGTCTCAAGCACGGTGAATCTGGCCATGGCTTTCGCACACTGAGGCCCACCAGGCTCTATTTTGAGACACACGCGGGACAGCAGACACCGCCACCTCCTCACCTGAGAGAAAACGGAGTTGTCACAGCAGAGCCTGTATGGACGAGATGTGCGGGGACGTTCCCCACCGCCCACCCACCGCCGAGCTGTGGGGCAGGAGAGGCGCAAGCCTGAGATGAGGACACCAGCTGCACGTGGGGCAGGACCGCGGTTTCCACAGAAGATGCAGCCTGCTTGAGTACGTGAGGTTCCATCTTCAGAGGAAGGAGGAACAACTTAATCTTCGTATTTAAAAGGAGGACTCCTAGAATCATTATCTTATTGCACTGTTCTTATAACCAGAATAAAAGACACTTTCTTCCTCAAGTGTATTCTTTCTGAACTCAAGCCTTCGGATTCTGCTGTGGGTTGAGTTGTGCCTCCTCATAAATTCCCATGTCGGTAGTTTTTTAAACAGATTTTATTTATTTGACAGAGAAAGCACAAGCAGGGGGAGGGGCAGAGGGAGAGGGAGAAGCAGGCTCCTGCTGAGCAGGGAGCCTGATGCGGGGCTCGATCCCAGGACCCTGAGATCACAACCAGAGCCGAAGGCAGACACTTCACATCGACAGAGCTGCCCAGGTGCACCCTGCCTACGTCGGGAGTTCCAATCCCCAGTACAATGTGACCTTATTTGGAGATAGGATGGCCCTCTCCAGTGACCAGTGTTCTTATAAGAAGAGGAAATGTGGACACAGACACACACACGGGAGAAGGCCACGTGCAGATGAAGGCCAAGATCGGGGGAAGCATCAGCCAAAGCAGGCAATGATCACCAGAAAGCAGCAGGGTCTGGGAGAGGGGCAGGGGACAGATTCTCCAGCACAGCCCCAGAGGACCCAGCCCTGACCACCTCTGGATCTAGAGTTCTTGCCTTCAGATTTGGAAGACTGCTCATGTCCACTGTCACTCCCATCTGGGCTACTTTGCTATGGCAGCCCTGGGAGACTTACACGCGCCCCCCTCCCCCCAACAGGGCGCAGCAAACACAGGGTCCCACAAAATATACACTTGAATTCCACTCCGATGGGAAAGAAGTCCAGTAACTCTGACTGCCAAAATCAGTAACCTGCACGGCAATTGTTTTTAAAAGATTTTATTTATTTATTTGACAAAGATCACAGGCAGGCAGAGAGGCAGGCAGAGAGGGGGAAGCAGGCTCTCCACTGAGCAGAGAGCCCGATGCGGGGCTCGATCCCAGGACCCTGAGATCATGACCTGAACCGAAGGCAGAGGCTCAACCCACAGAGCCACCAAGCACCCCTGCATGGCAAATTTGTAAGAACCAAGCAATTACAACTTCCCCATCACTGAGTATTTTATTTATTTCAGCTAGATATTTACAGATATTTGCTAATATAAAAATACAATGGCCAGGGGCACCAGGGTGGCTCAGTGGGTTAAGTGCCTGCCTTCGGCTCGGGTCATAATCCCAGGATCCTGGGATCGAGCCCCACATCAGGCTCTCTGCTCGGCAGGGAGCCTGCTTCCCCCTCTCTCTGCCTGCCTCTCTGCCTACTTGTGATCTCTCTCTCTCTCCCTGGGTCAACTAAATAAACAAAATCTTAAAAAAAAAAAAAAAAATACAACAGCCAGGCAGGCGGAGAGTTGAGGCCATGCAACCCCTACAGAAAGGACCCTCCAACCAACCCTGTGATCTTCATATCCTCTTCCAAACGCTTGCCCTAAGGCTTTAAATAGTTTCCAATATTTCCACATGAAAACGACTCCACGCCACTCCTGTGCACAGAGACCAGGCCGAGCTCAGTATCTGTACTTTGTGGAGTAATCCTTTGGAGAAACGACCAGGCCACGGCCTTTCCGCGCGCCCCGGTACACAGTCTCGATGATGTCTATCATTTCCTGTTTGTCTTCCATGGCCCAGTTGATCTTGTTGTTGTTACCCGTACCCAGGTCGATCATGATGTGTTTGTTCCTGCAAAGAGGAGACGGGTCAGTGTTCACAGTCTCCTAAGAGTTCCATGAAAAAAATGCCTTCTGTTTCCCACCATCACAAGCTCTTGTTAAACATCAGTTAAGGGCGCCTGGGGGGCTCAGTGGGTTAAGCCTCTGCCTTCGGCTCAGGTCATGATCTCAGGGTCCTGGGATCGAGCCCCTCATCAGGCTCTCTGCTCAACGGGGAGCCTGCTTCCCCCCCACCTCTCTGCCTGCCTCTCTGCCTACTTGTCATCTCTGTCAAATAAATAAAATCTTAAAAAGAAAATCAGTTAAGACAAAAACACACACAGTCAGGAGGCTCTACCGCGATTTAGAAGACGAGAACCAGTTGAACACTAGTGTAAAAGCACACACCATGCAGGGCACAAGCGCCCTCTGCATGGCTAAGCCACTCCCTCGGGACAAACGTCCTACAGGACACAGTGTGAGTCACTTGGAAAGTGACACTGTTTCCCAAAGGGCTGTACCGATTTACCAAGGAAACACAATACCCTGACCCTAGCGTACACTTTATCCAAAGTCCTAATTGTGAAATTAGTATGTCTGCATTTCTATAATTAGGGAAGTAGATGATACTTTACAGATTTATTTTTAAGAGGCTACTTTCAAAAATGAATTGATATGTGCACTTTACAGAGATAGTAACCCTTGTTGTCATTGGTGCACTGATCTCTCCAAGTTTGTTGGAGATAGTTTTCATTTATTCAAGTTTTCACTTCTACAGGAATGAAGAGCGGCACCTCAAGTCTCCATCTGTCCAACCACAGGGAGCATCCAAAAGGCAGACGCAACGTTTCTCCTTTGCTGCAAACATCTACTTCCAGGGTAACTCTCCACATCCGCACTCGGGCCCAGGAATCTGGACCCTGGACCCTGTCCCTCCCTGTCCCATCACCTGTCAGCCTCTTACAGCCTCCCCACCATGGCCGGACCGTCCGCGCCCGCCTGCCCGCCCCCGCGAAGGTACGAGCTCATTCTAGACTTCCTCCGGCTGTCCTTCAGCTCCCCGCCACCCCGACCCGGCACTTGTGTCTCTACAAACACCTGCTCGCCTTCGCTCATCTACTCCGCTGCTGCCAATCCGCGAAACCCGGTGACGGCAGGAACCGTCTTGTCTGACTTAACGTCCGGGCAGCAGACCACGAAACCTGGCAGGGCTCAGTACACACACTTGGTGAAAACATTAACTCAAGCAGAGGGGCGCCCCGTCTTGGATTCCGGCGTCGCAGAAAGAGCGGAAGGCACTTCGTCTTCTCTTCAGTCCAGCGCCCCGGCATCCACCCCAGCATCCTCCTCTTTGCGGCCCCGTCCGCCACAGCGTCCTCTGTGCCTTGGTCGGGCCAGCCACTGGCGGCGGGAGGCTGGCCCCAAGACGGCCCTCATGAGTTGCACCCTAAGGGTGTGGGGAGCACTGGGAGCAGCACGACAGGAAAGGCCCGGACTGCCTTGAAGCGGCTGTTCGTGGACTCGCGGACTGGAGGAGCATGGCCAGGGCAGGTGCTGGAGGAAGGAAGGAGCACACCGCCGGGGTGGAGGGAAGGGCCCCTGTTCCTCGGGGACACGGTCCCGCAGAAGTCATCAGGATGCGCCTGGACGTGCACCTGAGGAGCTGTTGAGCCCTGGAGCGGCCACCTGCTTTCTCCCTGCTGTGGACGGTGACGACAGATGACGCGGGGTTAGAGCCGCGGAAAGAGAGAAGGAGTTCTTGGCCCCTCCAGATGGCAGAAGACACTGCCACGCAGAAGGGCGCGGGGGGCACGGAAGAGGCCACGACCTGGTGCTGCAGCCCAGGCGGAATGTTCAGTCGCAAGTGAGGAGCGGCGCGTCTCCTGGGTCTCCATGGACGCCCAGGACAGGCACTCGGGCTGCAGAGGACGACGGTGCAGAGAAAGGCGGCGGGAGAACCCCAAAATGCTACCTGCTGAAGTCGGCGGAAAATGGCCTGGCTGCACACGCCTTTCCCGGAAAAGGCAGGAAAGCCTGGGCAGACCGTCCCAGGGCTGGGGAGTCATTCCCTTCCTCCTCACCTGCCCCGAGAAAGCAGACCTGTTTGCAAGGCTGGCCCATGATGTGTGCTGCCAGAGACGGGGCCACAGGTAAGGGGTGTCCACCAGCCTAAGCAGCCTCATGCATCCCTGCTTTTGTACACCCGAAGGATGTGGGTCTTTGGAGCCGGAGGGCAGAGGGCAGAAGACAGGACCCTGAACCCAACCCTGCAAAGTTCCTGCCCTCATCCCTGGGACGGTGCTGCGATGAGACGCCAGCCACCAGTGACGCTGCAGACGACGGAGACTGGCAGATGCCCCACGGTTGCTCATCAAGTGACTTTAAAGTAAGGAGATAATCCTGGATTATTTGGTGGGTCTATTCTGGTCACAGCCTCGGGGAAGCAGAGCAGGAAACCGCAGAGATGGTGCAGGCTGTGCAGACTGAAGGGACTCAAGCAGCAGGGAGGGCCCGGCACACAGCCCGCCAGGAGTCAGCGGCCCCAGCCTGTGACCACAGGGAACGGGATTCGGCCAACAACCCAATGAGCCATTGGCTTCTTCCCCGACCGACGGCCCCAAAAAAGCCCAGCCCGTGACTGTGGCCTCGTGAGACCCCGAGAGGAAACCCACTGAGCCAGCCCAAACTCGGAGCAACAGAACACTGAGCTCATCACTGTGGCTTTTAGCTACTCACATGGCGTTACCTGTTGCACAGGATATAAGCCAATACCTGCCCCGTACAACCCACCCAGACATTCCTCACCTGTCAGGCACCGGGGATGTCTAAGGCTTAATACTGCCATTTACCAGCCTTTCTACTAACAATAAACAGAAATTTTGACAAGTAGAAACAACGCCAAATGGTGATTTCTTTCCAAATTAAATCTCCACAACTTTTTTTGGAGTCTTGTTACCCAACTTTATTACAGAAATGCCATCGGATGTGACGCCATCTGGACTACATCAAACTTCCGAACCAACAATATCCAACTGAGACGAGAGCTTTAAGAGAACGTACCTGAAGAAAAACATGACAGTACACGGGTCGTACAACTCGTACATCTTGTTGAAGTCAGGCACTTCTGTGATATCCACAAGATAGATAACTGCGAAATTTTTAACCTAAAAGTAAGAGATTGAAAAAGCCCTATAAAGTAACACATCAGTTTTTTACTCTGCAAAAGCACACTGAAAAGCAAGCGCAAGAATCTGTGTGGAAGAGGCCAATTTCCAAACCAACTCCCCCACGTTGTTCCGCAGTAACGCCGACACACGGGCGCTAACCCTAACCCTAACCCTAACCCTGCACCCCTTCCGGAAAAGCAGGTTCCGCCACCCCTGCGGCGACAACCACCTACACCAGCTTCTCCCGACAGCGCGTGTGCGCCGCCAAGAGCGGCGGGAAAACAGGCCTTGAGAAGTCGGCCGGGCGCTCCTACCACGTGGCCCCGCACACCCGCCGGTGCTAAGAGTCCATAAAACAGAACCACTAACTAACTAACTAACTAAATAAATGGAATCACTTCCAATCCCAACGACCAGAGTTAATTGCTACAAGTAGATCTTTAGTAAATTCTTTACCACTTTTTCTGTTACACACATACACGTGTCTTGCTGTTTAAGTAAAATGTGGTCATACCACAGTACTTTATATCCTGCTTTAATTATGGACAGTCTCTTACACAAATTATACATTTTCCCCAAACACAATTTTTACAGCTACATAATTGCTTTATCAAACGGTTAGGTCATTATTTTACGTTTTCTATTATGTTCTGATTTTTCATGAAAATAATTCAGATTTTTTTCATTAATACCAATTATTCACCTGTGAACATTGCTACCCTTAAGTTTGTGTACATATTTCATTATTTCCAGAGATAGACTCCTAAAATGTAATCTCTACAACAAAGGACATGACATTTTAAACACTTACAAGTGCTGTCTCGGTGCCTTCCGGGAAGCTAGACAACCCTGTATGTTATGGGCTGAGTTACTTCCCCCCAGAAAGAGATGCGCTGCAGTCCTAACCCCCAGTGCTTAGAATGGGGCCTTATTCAGCAGAGAGTCCTTGCAGATGTCGTTGCTAGGATCAGACTGGCCATTCCAGACGGTGTCGTTAGAGAAGGGGCTATGGCTGACTTTTAGGGCGGGAGATACCCACAAGACAAGGGCACCGAAGACGGCAGACAACCCCAGAGCAGGAAGACACGCCAGGCGGTCTCCCTAGAAGGTTTCAGAGGCTGCACCTGTGGACACCCTGGCTTGGGACTCTCGGCCCCCAGACTGTGAGATGACAGACTTCTATTCGTTTCTCTGCCCAGTTTGTGGGCTCTGTTACTGCAGCCCCAGGAAATGCATATAAAACTAATTCTAAAATTTGCAGATGAAATGATGTGGTATCTGGGATTTGCTTTAAATACTGCAGTGTAAAAAATGGCCGGGGCCGTCGGAAGACTGAAAGGTACTGGGGACTGCTGGACCTGAGCGAGAGGCTCAGAGGGGTCACTACAACCCTCCTCTGCTTTGGAACTATTAACTAATAGTTAACACCAAAAATTAAGCTACCGACACCAAACAAAGCTGGCATCTCACAAGGACTGCTTTCGGTCCCAGCGCTGGTCGGGAGAGACCCTGAACACCGTCATGCCCCGGCTCTCTGCCCGAGGGCTCTGACGCTGCCATGCGCTGTGGTCTACACACTGTGTCCTGAAAGCCCTAAAGCAGCACCTTCCTGTGGCCGAGCCCCGTCCTGCAACTCTGGTCTCCTGTGCCAACAGTGGGAACGTGCTGGTCACGTCACCAGAACCCAGTTTTACTTTCTGGGTTAACTCATCAACTATATTCTGATTTTATTTAAAAATAAAACAGAAACTGCAGCACAGAAGTTCAGACTATAAAACAGTCAGTGTGTATAAATACACAAAGTGGTCAGACAGTAACCCTGACCCATTTTTATCCCTTCAATGCCTTGCTCTGTTGACTGATGCGCAAAACAGATACCAGTAACAGTGAGTAAATATTAACTTAGGGAATCGCCATGTAAATATTCAATTAGTCTAAAAATCAGATGGGCAGGGCTATAAATTATGTACTTTAGAGAAAAGTAAAATCATAAATTTGTCCTTTTTATTGTATGCAAAAAATCTTGTTTTGTTTTGCTTTACTGATAATTCTCCAGAAACCAAGAATCGCAAAAGATTAGTAATAATTTACAAATTATTACTGCCGTCCACTTCACAGTCCCCAAAACTTTCCCTCCAAGATGACTCTGGCATCTGTGTCCCACGGATTCGCTCTGCCACTTTGCAAATTCAGGCGTCCTCTTCCCTGCCCCTCCCAGAGGCCTCAAACTGCATTTCCAGGGTCTGTCAGCCTCAGCACACAAGCACCCGAGGATGGGAACTTTGGCTACTGCCTGGTTTTCACTGACTTCCCAGTATCGTGTGTGGACTTGAAGTCCCGCCCGCGACACAATGGACTTCCTGAGTCACGACGTAAACTACAGCAAACTCCAAAGTTCTCTTGCCTCACGCATCCGTCAACGCACTCAGGACGCACGAAGCGCTGGGCGAGGTTTTAGGGCTTGAGGCAAATCCGGGAACCACAACAAACTGCTGTGCGCAAAAAACTCTAAAAACATAAGGACTCGCAGCAATGGACATTCCACAATCAGAAGGTGACTAAGAAAAGTCTCGGGGCATCTGGGGGCTCAGTCATTAAGCCTCTGCCTTCGGCTCAGGTCATATCCCAGGGTCCTGGGATCGAGCCCCGCATCGGGCTCCCTGCTTGGCGGGAAGCCTGCTTCTCCCTCTCCTACTCCCCCCACTTGTGTTTCCTCTCTCGCTGTGTCTCTCTATCAAACAAATGAAAATCTTAAAAAAGAAAAAAAAAAAAGATACAAGTCTCAATCTCCTTTGCCTTCTATCTCATCTATCTAAACCCCCACTCTGAGTTCTAGCAGAAGCAAAGTATGTCAGTTCACTTACAAGGTACTCCTCACTCCTTACGTCTAACTCTAACCCCCGAATGAAGACGCAGTTAATGAAAGTTAAGACTCAGGAAGACAGAGTGACTCTAAGAAATGAGTCAGAAAGACTGTAAGCTACACGGGAAGCAAGCGGCAAAGCTGAGACTCACCCCGTCTGGCTCCAGAGCGCAACTTCTAGATGGGATTCCTACCCAAGTCTCGACTGCCCAAAGGAGGCAGGAGGCCCTGAGGGGGGCGGGGAATGGGCCAGGCTAGAAAGGCGGCGTGTGCGAGATGAAGATGCCGGAGAGGACAAGGCAAGGGCAGCAGCAACACCCGGGATGCGGGGTTAGAGGTGGAACGTGAGCCTGGAAACGTAGACAGGGCCCTTCGAGGCCCAAGTTCAGGTCATTTACTTGTTTGTCTCCAAGCAAGGAGGGGTTGGGGACCTGGGAAAACTGAGGAGCATCTAGGGAGGAGGGCTTACTTACAAGGAACGCTGGCATGGCTGTGCTCTGGGCACCACTGCCATCTGCATCCAACAGCGGCCAGTCCAGCCGCCCCACGGGAGGGCCAAGGGCAGCAGGGGTGGCCAGAGAGGCACACTCACAAACCAAGTCAAGGGACCACCCAAGAGGGAGCTGGGTCAGGGACCAGAGAGCTCATGTCAGACGAAGCCTGTGGTTCTGCGACTCTGGCTACTGGAAGGTCATCAGTGACCGTGCAAAACCCGCACAAGGCAGGAAGGACGGACAGGCCCCGCAGAGAGCCTGGCTGTGAAAAGAGGGACGTCACCGAGGGTCTCAGGTGGAGAGGCAGGTCCTCCCCTGCCACTGCCAATTCCCGCGTTTCCGGGTGAAAGAGAAGGCGGCTGTGCGGTGACGTGCGCCGTGCGGCACTGGTCCAAACAGCCTCTGTGCGAGATGGCTCCCGCCACGTCCCCGTGGCCCCCGGGGCAGCCGTGCTCCTTGCGGCACCGTAACTTACAGGGAACAGTATTCACGTTCCGGCGTAACCAAGCGCACATCTGCCTCCTGCAGCACCAGTAGCCAAGCCAGCGCCTGCCCGGGTGCCTTTCTGGCTCGACGTGGATTCTTCAGCCAATGGGTTCTGGTTCCTGGAACCTCCAAACCTCCCAAGTTAGAGCAGAGACTGACACCAGAAACCACATCCTCCTAAAAGTGATCAAGATACATCGCTTCTATTTTACGTATGAGGGCACGCAGCGACCCCAACTCGATGAGACAATTTTCACACTGTAAATGCTGGTCTTTACAGTGAGACTTTAGGAGAGGCCCAATTTCCTCTTGCCTCCCATGATGAGTAAGAAAACTGTAGCTCCGTCTGAAGTAAAAGGGACGGGGATGCCTTGGTGGCACAGTTGGGCTGAGCCTCCAACTCTTGATCTCACTCAGGCTGTGAGCCCCGCGGCAGGCTCAGGGCTTAGCGGGGTCTGCCTGAGAATGCCCCCGTCCCTCCCCTCCCTCACAGGCCCTCTCAAAACAATAGTAGACAACCAAGTGGTGCCCTGGTACTCAGTTCTTCTTTTGCCCCGTGTGGACTACACGATGGCCCTGCAGAACCGTGTCTGTCTTTACCGACGTGTCCTCAGACGCAGAGCCTGACTCACAAGCACGTCATGTTCGCTGCATGAACTTCAAACAAGAAACTCGTATTTTGAAATGCAAGGAACACATTATTGTCACTAAAAATGTGTTCTGGGACAGCGTGAGCTTAACTATGTAACCCTGGGCTTGGAGAGACTGGCCTTCAGAGCCGGTGCGGTGGCACCTCCTCCTGACACAAGCGGGCGAGGAATCGCCGTGCGGGGACCACGGCCCAGCCGGGTGGCGCCCAGGGGCCTTCCGCCGACCCTCTGCCTCCCTGCAGTCTCCCTCCTCTGGAAAAGCCTCCGCTTGTCAAAGCTGAACTATTTCTACTCAACATTTCGCACCCATTAAGGAATCCGTGCTTAACTACAACCCTGTGTATTTTTTAGAAAACTGAAAAGGAGCTAGGATATTCTCTCCATTTAAAAAATGCTCACTTTGGAAATATACAAAAGGAAGGGAAAATCCACTGCCACGTGACCAGCCCACTTTTTTTTTTTTTAAGTGAAGTCTACCCCCAACATGGGACTCAAACTCACGACCCCAAGACTGAGAGCCGCGTGCTCTTCTGACTGAGCCAGCCAGGTGCTCCAGCCCAGTGTTCTTCAAACAAGTTATGTAACTTAAAAATATATGACAAATAAAATTAACAGAGTATGAGTGTCTTACAGTGAAAAGTGTTTCCCTTTCCCCAGACCCACATGTTCACTCATGAGGAAATCACATACGTTCTGCTTTCTCGAGCTGACGTCATCAACAAATACCCACGGTATTTAAAAAGCTTAGAAAATCATTTTTAATGGCCACATAATATTCCACCTGGTGAAGAGGACATTCCCTGTTCAAATCCCAACTCTCCATTTCCGAGTCTGGACAAATTACTTGGCACACCTACTTCATGGGTCGTCACAACGACTACGCTGAGGTCTGTTTCCCACCAGACAAGGTGACTGGTCTAAATGTTCAAAAACCAGAGATTATAGTCATCACCATGCTCTCCTACCGTTAGACATGGTTGTTGCTCCCAGTTTTGCTAGAAATGATACCAAAAGTCCTGTGGAGCATAAAACTTTGCCTACTGAAGAAGTAGGATGACTGAGCTCTTAAGGCTTTTCAAACAAGGCCAAGCTGCTTTCCAAAAGAATATCATCAGTATTAACATTCCCCATGCCACAGTAAATACCTTCTCATCTCTGAGAAGTCCAAGTAGCAGTGCGTACTATTTTCACGTGCATGGCTCTCAAGTTCACTTAACCATTAGAATTTCCTCTTTTTAAAGTTCTTTGCCTCTCTACCCATGGGAGTCATCTTTTCAAATGGTACTTCAAACTTATTTGCATAAGTCTTCTAGATCTGAAATAATATTTTGCCTGCTATGTTTGCAATAATTTTAATTGGTTGTTACTAGCATTTTTTAAAAGCTAAGAACTCTATGTACAAATTTCATTTCTACTCTCAAGTTGTTTCTTAATGTATATATTCTGCTGATCATGTGTAACAGTTGTCCTGTTGCCGGACATCTCCTTCTCCTCCAGCAGGTCACTGACTCAGCTGTCCAGCAGCCCTTCTACAAGATGCGTCTACAAGTGAAAGTCACTCGTTAGAATCAGGGAGACTGAAGGCCCGCACAGGAGACCAACCACCCTTCCAGCCTTCTAAGAGAGCTCCTCCTCCAGCTAAGAACCCACGTAAAATGCTGGAAAAACATGTTCTAGACTGTCAATTGCCACTCTGTATTTTATTTCCGAGGAACCAATTCTTAGGTCATTCATGTAGAAGCCATTAAAAACCTGCATGATAACTTTACTTTCCCCAACTATTTGCCTGAGTAGCTCTATCACAGCAACTCCTGCAAATGTTGTGATGCGCACGATGATGCCGTAAGAGCGGTGCATAATTACTGAATACGTGACTGGCTGTGTGACCAAAGTGTTCCAGAAGCGCGTTCTAGTAATTCTAGCCTCACAACTACCCTACTTAGACACTACTGTCCCTTTCTTACAGACGAGTAAAATGAGGCACAGAGACAAGTTAAAGATCACACAGGGAGTAAGTAGCAGGAGCTAGCCTGGTCCTTGCTCCTAACCAGACTCCACACCGCCCCTCAGAGCTTGCTGCCAGCTTCAAGGCTGTAATACCCAGACATGCAAATCCACAGCAAACATAAGCTTCTTCCTGACTCATAAGATATCTCATTTGACTGAACATCGACTTCCAGTAAGGTTCAATTTACTTTATGCAAGGCTTAAGAATGATCCTTTAAAATCATTTCTAAAAGTTCCATACATATATTTGTATTATTTACAACTTCATGAGAACGTATGATCATGAATCAATGATACCATTGAGGTTTTGCATATTTTAAACTCATCTGTATGAGTTTTTTTAACACAAAAAATCTAAATGTCCCAACTATTCTTTCCCATCACGGGATGAGCTGTGACAAACTGTTAGTACAAAATGGCAAGACAGCACAGAGGTATACAAAACAGTCTCTCTTTGAGGCTGTGCATAAAATCAGCTGAACAGGGATGCCTGGGTGGTTCAGTGGCTTAAGCGGCTGCCTTCGGCTCAGGTCATGATCCCAGGGTCCTTGGATCGAGTCTTACATCGGGTTCTCTGCTCAGCAGGGAGCCTGCTTCTCTCTCTGCCTGCTTGTGCGCTCTGACAAATAAATAAGTAAATAAAATCTTAAAGAAAAAAAAACCCCAGCTGAACAGGAAACTTTGTTATTCTCACTCTACCAAACTCCAGGCGTCTGTGAAACTGTCACACAGATCTCTTGTGTTTTCAGTGTGGCTCAAAACACCCAGCACGAGGTGGGGGGCGGGAAGTCAACGCACCACGTTCCAGGATAAACGATCGCATCAAGTCCAGCCTAAACTGTGGAACTTTTACTCACTCTACAACAGCTGGGGTATCCAAACAGGGCTTGTAACAAGATGAGGAAGATCCCCCACTCTCTACCATTTCTGCAGAGGGAGATTTTTTTTTTTTTAAAGATTTATTTATTTATTTATTTGACACAGAGAGAGAGATCTCAAGTAGGCAGAGAGGCAGGCAGAGGGGGAGGGGGAAGCAGGCTCCCCGCTGAGCAGAGAGCCCGATGTAGGGCTCGATCCCAGGACCCTGAGATCATGACCCAAGCCAAAGGCAGAGGCTTAACCCACTGAGCCAGGCAGGCGCCCCCAGAGGGAGATTTTTAAATGGAGAGTTAAGTTGTTCTTTGTACTAAAACCTTAAATTTCAAAAATTCCCCTTGAGCTTCCCCAAAAAGGGCTTCCAGAATCATAAACTCATATTCTGCCTTTATACTAAGAAAAAAATAAAGCAATAATCTTGGGATACGTTTTAAGTTTGCATTTTTAATAACTGTACTATGTAATATTTTACTAAAACTTTATTAATATAAACAGAAATCCAAGTTTTTGGACAAAAAAGAAAAATCTTAAAAAAAACAAAGAAAAACACTCAAAGTGAGCCCAGTTAAGCTATTCTTGTCAATAGGTTCAATACCAAAAAAAGAGAGCGTCCACTGATAGAGGAATTCAGTCTATAACCGACAGGAAGGGATGAGAAAAGAACTGTGGAAGTCCCTAAAAGCTTATATTAACACACAAAATCTGTCTCCTAGCTAAGAGCATTTTGCTGGTGTTGCTCAGACGTGAAGCGACCCTGCCATCTCTCAGTACCCTGACCCTGTGCTGAGGGCAGCAGGAGCTGGTCACCACCTGGTATTCACACCAGCAGCTGCAACACGGGACTCAGAACACACAGCCGGGCTACAGCCATGTGGTCCTCAGAGAGGTGCTCCCAGGCAGCACCACCTCGGCTGCGTCTGCCCTTAATCACCACAACCTAAGCAAAGGCATAAGAGAGATGTCCTGGCATCACCTCATTGATGACTTCGGACCCCAGCTGGGAGGATTCCCATGTCAGGAAATTGCTGCTCTCCCGAGTTCCCAGGGTGCGCTCTCAAGCTGCTGGAGGAGGAGGAAGGGAGCGGCTGGCAACCACAGCACACCTACTCTGATCCTGACTGCCGCTGAGGGGTTTTGAAAGTCCCATCAGAACTGCCAGGACGGCTTCTGAAAAGGGCTGTTTCTGGACCTCACCCCAGACCAGCAGAACGGGAACCTTGGAGACGCACTTCAGCAAGTATTCCAAGGGACACTCATGATGACTGACGCAGAACAGTCTCCAGTGTCCCCAGTGCCACCACCCCTGCTGCGGTCTGCCTCTCCTACCGAGCAAGAGATAGTAAAAATGAGCAGTGGAAGGTCAGTTGTTTGTTTTTAAGTAAACTAACCCAATGTGGGGCTTGAATGCAGTACCGCAAGGATCTCACACTCTACGGACGGAGCCCACCAGATGTCCCAGAAGGTCAGACAGTCTTCCTGTCCTCAATGCAAGATGCGCTCTTACATCCGTTCCTCTAACCCCTTTTCCTCTGAGAGAAAACATGGCTTCAATGTTTCCATCACTTTCACTCTTCGTTCAAGTGGCCTCTCAAATTACTTTTGGAATATCGGTAAGTTAGGTGTCTCATTAACAGCCTAATGTTGGCTCTTTGTCTTGTTGCTACAATTGCAAAAACCCAAATTAAAGTGACCTCCAAACCACCATGAAGAAGCTACAGAGAAGCACGGAGCCCCGGTTATAGAACGGGCCGGCACCGGCACCGTCGCCACCACCCACGAGCCGTAGTCCTGATGCGAAACACCCGGAGCCCGATTCTCTCCTCTCCTGTCACCTCCTGCAACGCGCTCGCTCGGAGACAGAAGCCAAGCGACTTGCAGAGCGTCACTTGGGGTGGACGGAAGGGCCAGGAGCAGGGGGCAGGGTTCATGCTCCGGCAGGGCGGGGGCTCCCACACCAGGAAACAAGGTACCAGGAACGCACAGTCCTCGTCCGCGAAGCTACCCAGCTCACTAGTCCCCAGGTGTGTCCTGTTCGCGACCCTGCGGCGAGGACCCGTCAACCCCGTCGACACCGGGACACCACGAAGCTTCTCCCGGGAAAGGCAGAAGCTCATAAGGACACCCCCGGGGGCCGCAGGGTAAGAACGCGGCCAGGAACCTCCTCCTCCCTCTGCCGACCGCGCCCGAACTTGGGGCGCGAACGAGACCACCGCACCTCCAAGACCCCCGCCAGCGGGCCAAGCGGGGGGACCGGCCGCGCCCGGGTCCCAGGCCGACCGCGGGGCGCCGCGCTACCTTCTCGGCGATGCTGTAGAGCACCTCGTCCATCTTCATGCAGGTGGGGTCCCAGTCGTGCCCGAAGCGGATGACCACCACGCGGTCCTCCTCCGACAGGATGGCCTGGTCCACCTGCCAGCCGTTGTGCAGGTGCGGGAGCATGTACGACATCTCGGGGCGGGTCCGGGGGCCTGCGAGGAGAACTGCGCGCACCGCTCCTTCCCGCGGGCTGCCGGGCACGGGGGCGTGGGGCCGCGCGACACGCCGCCCGCGGCCCTCGGTCCCACGGCGGGCGGCCGGGACCCCGCTCCCCCCCGGGACCCCCGAGCTCGACCCCTGGAAGGCCGCCGGGACCTCGCGGACGCCCCGCGGACCCCAGCCACGGCGCGGAGAACCCGTGGGGGCTGCTCCCCTCGGTTCCCGCCCCCTCCCTCCCCGCCCCACCGCCCTCCCGGCCCCCCAGCTCCCGCCGCTCGCACCTCTGCCGACTAGAGCGTCCCGCGCTGCAGTCCTTCCGGGCGTGGACGCGTGCCGGACGCTGCGTGCGCGCCGACGTGCGCGTGCGCGTGCGCGCCGACGTGGGGGCGCGCGCCCGACGCTGGGAGGCGCGCGACACCCGAGGCCCCAGGCTCCAGGCGGCGCGCGTGCGGTAGGCGGTCTGGGGGCGAACCCCGCGGGCTCGCGTTTCGGAGGCGCCGCGGTGGGCAGGAGGGGCCCGGCTTTACCCGACCTGTCGTCAGTCCCAGGCAGGCCCCGTCGTACAGACCCAGCCTCAGCGCGGCGCCACGGTGTCCCGGGGGGTGCGGAGGGTGCAGCTGGCTGGGCGGACCAAGGAGGTGGGGTTCGCGTCCGAACTCACCGGACCCCTGGGACGGGGGTGGGGACTGGACAGAGGGGACCCCTGGGACGGGGGTGGGGACCTCCTTGGTCCGCCCAGCCAGCTGCACCCTCCGCACCGCCGGGGCACCGTGGCGCCGCGGTGAGGCTGACGGGGCCTGCCTGGGACCGACGACAGGTCGGGTAAAGCCCCTCGTGACCGCCGCGCCGACCCCGGGGAGAGGCTGGAGGTGGACTCAGCCGAGGGCCAGTGATTTCATCAGTCCCGGCTCCGCAGCGAAGCCTCCATAAAACCCCAAGAGGTCGGCTTTCGGGTCCTTTCTGGAGACCTTCCACGCTTAGGGAACCAGAACTCTTCCTCGGGGAGCCGGCCCCAAGCTCCACGGGGACAGAAGCTCGGTCGTCGGCGTCTCAGTCTCGCTGTGCGCTGTCACAGCCCCTGAGGACCTGGGAGGCCGCGTCCCTGAGTTCTGTGCGCGGCTCTCGCAAGTTCCGAGAGCCGCGGAGGAGCTGGTTGGAAGCCCAGGCAGCGGCCTGGGACCTGTGCGGGGCGACGGAGGTGGGGGTGGGGCAGCCGTGGAGGACTCAGCCCTCGGCGGGAGCTGATGCCCTCTTTGGGCAGGGAGTGTCACAACTGAGTTGAACCCTTGGACACTCAGACACTCAGCTGGGACCCTGAGGACGGCGTGGAATTGAGGGGTGGGGGGAGACCATGTTGGGAACTGGGCGCTCAGAACCCGAAAAGGGCCGTCGAGGAGCACTGATTGTTCTGTTGAAGACGCGCTGGACGCAGACGTGCGCTTGTCTTCTGGCAGGCCGTGGTGGGTCAGGACGTGCTTGGCCTGTCCCTCTGCACTGGAAGGGCCCTACGGTGTATATGAAGATCGTGCTGGACATCTGCAGAAACACTGTAATCTCATTACCGGGCAAGAATTTTTGGAAAATGAAATGCAGTTTGGCCCAAAGATCCAAGTTTTGTATATCTGGGGCGGAAGTGCACGGGGTAGGTCTGGATCCCCTGGACCTGAAGCTCGCGGCCAGCTTTGGTGTGAAGGTGGCCGACACACCACTGGCCGTGTCCAGCCCCACGGCGGACATGGGGATGGCCTTACTGCTGGGGGCAGCTCGCAGAGTCGCGGCAGGGAAACGGCCACTGGAGTTGCTGGTTTTCCAAGGAGTGCGCATGACAGACACGTCATACCAGGCGCAATGACGTGCTCCTGTCTTCAAACTGCAAGTCTGCGCGGGGCCTGACTTCTTCACACCGAACTCAGGGCTTTGTTGCACTTGGGAACTGGAGCCACTCTCGGCAGCCCACTCGGGGCTCGAGCCCAGCTCGCCCGCACCTGGCACAGGCAGTCTTTCCAAAAGCCACCATGTCCGCCCCCCACAAGCTTCCACGCGTTCCCTTGACAGCTGAAGTAATTTCAGCATCTCTGTGGAAATGCCCTTGGGGTCATTCCTTGGTCCATCAGCATGCTGCCCTGGGGTGAAGGCCTCCAAGTGAGAAGGCAGCACCGGGCCTCTGCACACCCTGGCCATCTCTGGGAGGGTGCCCCATCCTCCTGGTGAGCTTGGGTGTGAAGGCGCTTGAGGAAAGAGGAAGCGAGAACCAGGCTCTTTGTGTGCACACACGTGCCGACACTGACACATTTCTACCAGGAGGCCTTCCTTAATGTAAAAGAAGTTGGTGTTTTAAAGCTCTCTACCAGGACGCTCCGGTGCTGTTAGGAGGAAACTTCCATCTGTCCCTCCCTTCAGCCTAGCAGAAGCCTTCGTCTGTGGTGTGGGAAGGTGGCTTTCTGTGTGTGGTGCCGTCCCCACTGCTCATTCTGTCCCCTGTGTATTTTAGGTCATATGTTGGGCAGTGCACCAGATACAGAGACATTTTCTACAAACTGGATGGGTCAGGAGGTGACAGGGGCCACTCTGGGAATCGTCAGCGTGGGCAGCAGTGGCTGTAAGATGACTCAGAGAGCCAGAGCGTTCGACTCGAGGATTCTCTACCGCAACAGGAGATGCAGGTAAACATTCAGAAAATGGACCTGAAATTAACATACCATCCCTGCCTTCCCTATGGCTTGGATATAGGATCCCCCCATCAGTCACAAGACTCTCCTGCTCTTTCTCTCCAAAAAATAAGAATGATGGTCGAGAAAGCGGCTGTGCTTACCTGGGAATGTGGCTGAGACCTTTTTTTTTTTTTTTTTTAAATTGAAAACATTAATCAGAAAAGAGGCTTTAATTTCTGAAGTGAAAGGGAGAAGCTGTCCATAGCACCGGGCAACTTGCCTGATCCCTTTAGTACGGAAGGTCGTGTCGGCCCTCCGTGACGTGTGCGGGCTCCTTCCTCGGTCGATGCCCGGGCTTACGATTGCCTCCACACAGCGGCAGACCTGCTTGTTCTCTCTCTCACTTCTTCGATGCCGCTGGTTCCGGCCCTGTCCTTTGTCCTTTCTCACCTGAAATACATATTCTATGGGGCTTCTCACTGCTGCTCTTTAACCTCTGGCCCCCCTTGCAAACCAGCCAGATGATGGACGTTGTTTACAACCTTTCAGTGGCCTCCCACTGCCTGTGGACCACATTCCCAGCTGGTGAGAAAGTCGTGGAGGCCTGGTGAGCTGGGAGATGGTGTGTCCAGCCAGCGTTTGCACCACAGACAGTGAAGAGACTTCGGGGCGATGAACACAGGCACAGAGAGAGACGCCAGGGTTCTTATGTGATGGAGTGTGTGATGTGGGCACGGTATCCATCCTTCCTCGGGGCTGTCCCTTGACCCAAACACGTTAGGGGAGAATTTGGGTAATTTGGAATTCTGTGTTTGTACCGCCGTGGCAGCTGCCTGGGAACCCATAACCTCTGGGCCTTGGAATCCCTCTGAACAGCCAGCTGTTTGGGGACCAGAGCAGGGTTAGGACTGAACCAAAGCAAAACACAAAAGTTCCCTCTATCAAACCCTGGGGGCCTTGCTCCCTGTGTGAGAAGCAGCATTCTCAGGCACCCTCCGGTTCTGTTGGTATGTTTTCTGGGAAACCTAGATGCGTTTGCCCATATTGGGGTGCTCTGTGGTCCCAGAAGCAGGTGCTTGTGCTCTAACTTGGACTGGGACCTACTTCCCTTCATCGATGTCCTGTCGTCACCGAGTATATGTCTGATGGACCATCGGACTTGTACCAGGCTCTGGGGGTTCAAGGGACAAGCAGCTCCTGGCCTCAGGGAGCCCCAGTGTGGTATGAAATTCCACAGGCCCCGCGGCCTGCCCCCAGAGAACCCAGACATGCCCACAGGGTTCCCATGGATCCTGGACCCAGCAGCGACAGGCTGCATCCTTGGCTCTCTCAGAAACTCCTTCCTGGGGCGACGTGATGAATTTCTGATTAGAGAACATGGTTTTTCTTCCTTGTTCCCTTCATAGGAAATTAGAGGAGGAGGGAGCTGTTGGTGCCACTTATCAAGAGTCTGGATGACCTGCTTCAGCGATTGGACTCCGTGCTGTTGGCTATGAGCCTGACATCCCAGCCCCAGAGGCTGGTTAGGAAGAGGGAGCTGAGTCTGATAAAGCCCATGGCCATTGTCATCAGCGTGGGCAAAGGTACAGGTCTCTGCTGAGCACGGGCCGCGGGGCTGGACGGTCATGTGGGAAGAAACACCCTGGCTGTCAGCACCTCTGATCTGCTTTCCTCCTGATGGCCACGGCGTTCGAAAGTCCACGTACACTGTGGGGGCGGAGAGGGTTCTAATGCGAGGGAGTCTCCTTCCTGTTCAGAGGTATTTCTGATTTTTGTTTCCACATCATTTTGAAACTCGAATTAGTAACAAGAGGATGAGAATGATACAGTCATGGCTTTCACAGCCTGCTTTGGACAGCACCTCCGGGGAGAGGCATTACAGTTTGGTTTTCCAGGTGTAATTAAGCAGGATTTACGGAGATGAATTTTCTAAGCCTTCACTTTAAAAAATAAGTAACTTAGTTTGGTTTTTGACATTTATGTAGCGCTTTGTGCTTCCATACAAGATGTGGTTGCATGTGCTGTAGGTTGTTAGGTGTGTGTTTGTAAAGAACCGAGGATCCGTGCTGCTGTCAGACATGCAAGCCAGGTGCCTCTGTGGGGCTCTCGGCCAGAAGACACGTGACACCTGGGGCTACCAAGAGCCACCACATCTCATCCGTAAAATGAGGAGAACAGTGTTTGCCACCTGAAATTGTAATTTATAAGAAATACGTATTTGGTCATTCACTTGTGGTCTTCATCCACAGTTCCTGGCTCTCTGCTCCCCAAACCCTCCAAACTTCCCAAGTGTTGAGACTGACAAAGGTGTCTTTTGCTAATGAAGGTGACTTTTGGAACCCCGTCACTCAAGGGCGGGGGCTGCTGCTACCAGGAGGTCCAACCATGTGATCAGAGGGTCGGAACTTTCCACCCCACGCCTGACCTCTGGGGAGGGGAAAGGGCCTGGGCATTCAGTCAGCCAGTGGCCAATGATTTAATCCATCGTGGCCATGCAAAGAAGCCTCCATAAAACCCAAAACGACTGGGTTTGGAAACTTCTGGGCTGGCAAACTCTCGGAGACGGGATGAGCGGCTGTCAGGAGAGGGCATGGAAACGCCACACCCTTTCCCGTGGACCTGTCCCCGGGCACCTCTCCGTCTGGCTGCTGACTCTCACCCTTTAACCAGCAGGTCACCGTGAGCCCTTCCTGCGTTCTGTGAGCCGCTGAGGAGGTCACTGGAACAGCCAGTCTGCAGCTGGTCGGTCAGAAGCCCGAGTCCCAGCCGGGGACTTCCGAAGAGTGTCTGAATTCGGGGGCAGGAGGCCGTCTTAGGGGACTGAGTCCTTAACCTGTGGGATCAGATGCTGTGTCCAAGGTAGACAGTGTCAGAACTGAGTTGAATTCTCTGACACCCTGCTGGTATCCTGAGGACTGCTTAGCCTTGAACATGTGGGAATCTCTCTCTCTCTACCCCACGCAGGAACTGGGTCCGGGAACCCTAAAAGAGCTGGTGCTGGAACATGAGAAGACCGCACAGGGCTGAGCTAATATGCTTGAGGGTTCAATGAAAATTCAGACCCTCTAGGCGAGCAGGAAGGACCAGCTTCGGCAACGTCAGAGGCTGGTGAGTGTGCTCAAGATGCCGGGAAAACAGCCCAGAAAAGGGTGTAGGACGCGGCTTCTCCAGCCGCAGCCCCCGCACACCAGGGATGCTCTGTGTCCTGACCCTCGGGCCTGCCCCGACGGTCAGCCGTCAAGCGGCCGGTCGTCAGGCTCCTTGCTGGTCTCTGCCTCGAGGAAAGGTTTTCTTCTCAGCTTCTGCCCTTCTGAATTTGAAATGACAGTTGTGGATTGTGGTGGCTTCGTTTTTAAAGTGTGTTTGCGGCAGCCTGGGGCTGGGTCCCTGACCTGGGGAGGCGCTGTGTAGCGTGAGACCAGCCGGGCCTGAGGATAGATGAACCTGGGTTGATCGGTTAGGAGCTGTGTGGCCTGGCGTCAGGCCTCAGTTCCTCCCGTGTGAGACGCACAGGCTTTGCCAGCTTCTTGGAGGGTTCAGCGGGCGAGCTGTGCGCGGGGCTCGCTGTGCGCGGGGCTCAGCGCTCCGCCTGGCCGGGCCGGCTCCGCACGTCTGGTGAGGAACCCACAGAATGAAGCTCCTGGTCAGCCTCTGGCATGATCGAGACGGGCCTGCAGTAGCAGCGACGGTGACCACAGCGTCCCTCCCGTCCTGCCCGACCGTAGTGATGCAGAGGCCTCGTCCCCTTAACTCAGGTCTGTCGGTGCATCAGGACGCGCTGGTGGAAGCTCTCCAGACAGGGGCCATCAAAGCGGTGGCGCTGGACGCGGCGCGCTGCAGCCCCTGCCCCGCGAGCGAGCGGGCAGGATGGCCGTCTCTCTCGGGGCTCAGCCCGCTCCGCAGTCACTGCTCTCCGCCCCTTCGCAGCCGTTAAGCCACAGACCGGGGGGTCTGGGCCGTGCAGGGGCCCAGGCAGGCCTCCGCCAGCCGGTCGGGCTCTGCAGAAGGCCGGACGTCTGCGTGGGGGGGCTCCCGGCTCTCGGGCGGCGGCCCCTGCGGGGGGCGGGCCGGCCTGGCTCCTGTCCAGCCAGAGCACCCTCGCCTTACCCGGTGGCCCTGGTTTGCCTCCCGGAGCCTCAGAGCCGCCGCCCCCGCTCCGTGTGTCTGAGCTTGTCTCAGGTCCTTCCGTCACAGCCCAAACGGCAGCGTTTCCGGCGCCTGCCCCGCCCGGCTTCCAGCGTTCTGGTTCGGGAGGTCCTCTGAGGACGTGCCCGCAGGACCCGCGCTCGGGCCGTGTTGTGGTCTGAGCCCGCGAGCGCGTTCCGCGGCCTGCGCTGGTGGCAGGCCGGTTCACGCGCAGTGTGTTAGTTGGGTTTTTAGTTAGAAAAAATCGAAATTATTCCCTCAATTGTCTTTTATGTGTGGAATTTTACATTTATTTCTGCCCAATTTGCTTCTGTGTCTTGTTTTAAGGACATTTTATTTTTATTTAAGGATTTTAGTTATTTGTCAGAGAGAGAGAGAGAGCGCGCGAGAGCACGCACAAGCAAGGGGTGGGCAGGGGGGAAGCAGGCTCCCCGCTGAGCAGGGAGCCCGACGCGGGGCTCGATCCCAGGACCCCAGGACTGTGACCGGAGCTGCAGGCAGACAGTTTACTGACTGAGTCACACGGGCGCCCTGTTTATTTTTTCAGGGAGAGAGAGGGAGCATCACGTACACACAGGGCCCACTGACGGAGCCACGCAGGCGCTCATGTTTCTGTGACCCATCGATCCGGGGACTGGGGTCTTCGTCACGTCGTTTATCTTGAGTCTTGGTGTCGTTCATTAAGGTGATGGTTCCCAGGTTTGATTCCTCCAGCTTTGTGTCTAGTAAGCAAATTACTGTCCATTGGAAGTCTGACATTACAACCAAATTTAATATCTAACTTTACCAAGACTGACCACAGAACTTACATTTCTGAAAAAAAAGTTTATTTAACATACTTTCTCAGAATGTGGTCTGGAGACCCTCTGAGGGGTCTGTACAGTCGACGTTATCTTCACTGAACGTATGTGCTACCTCCTCACGGATGGCTCAGTGCACCTGCGGGCAGTGTCGCTGACAACTAATGCAATGCGTGTTGCTGTACTAATATTTCTTTAATCTCCAATACAATAAATGTTGACAGATAAAACCCATAAAAACAATGTTTTTTGTGGTTCTCAGTTTTAAGAGTGTAAAGAAGGGTGCCTGGGTGGCTCAGTCAGTTAAGCATCTGCCTCCTGGGATTGGGCCCCAGTGGGGCTCCCTGCTCAGTGGGGAGTCTGCTACTCCCTCTTCCCCCTTACTTGCTCTCTCCCAAACAAATAAATAAAATCTTAAAAAACTTAAAGAAGGGTGTAAAGAAGTCCTGGGGTACATGGCTGGCTCAGTTGGTAGTATGTGCAATTCTTGACCTCAGGGTTTTGAGTTCAGGCCCCACACTGGGCATGCAGACTACTTTAAAAAAAAAGGAAAAAAAATTTAACAAAAAAAGATTGACCTAAGAGTGTACCTGAGACCAAATGTTTGAGAACCACTAGTGTAGAACAGAAGAGTGTCAGTATCCAGTAAGAAGCACGAGCATTTTAGACAGTTGTCAACTTACTCAGAAACCTAGAAGCTCGGGGCTCACCTGCTGCGGAGTGAGCTTTTTTGGTGGCTTCACTAACAAGTCACAGGGCAAGTCCAGGGGTCTACCCCAAAGGTCGTCAGTGTCATCCTGTTACCTCAATACCAACAACACTGCTGTTGCAATGTTGTGCTGGTGCAGTTCAGGTTCGTCTGGCCTGGACACCAAGTTCTGTGGGCGGGGTTGTTGCAGGACTCTGCTGTTTCTGAGTCTGAGTCGTGGGGATCACCTCCTGCTGAGACTGGTGTCCCGCTAGTGCTGCTGGATGGTAGGGCCCACCTCCTCGCTGGCAGGGGCAGGGCAGGAGTGTTCTTCTGAATAGTTCCCACCCTTGCTAAGGGTGTTACAGGCTCTGCCTCACTTGGGTCAGGCCTGGGGGCAAGGACAGTCATGGCGCATTGACAAATTACAAGTGTCCCCAGAGAATTTCTGCAGGTTTGGGGTCCCTAAGATTCCTAGAGGATGGAGGCTGACTGTGGCGTGAGGGCTTTGGCCTTTGTATTCAAACAGTCAAGAGGTGGGGCGCCTGGGGGGCTCAGTGGTTAAAGCCTCTGCCTTCGCTCAGGTCATGATCCCAGGGTCCCGGAATCGAGCCCCACATCGGGCTCTCTGCTCAGCGGGGAGCCTGCTTCCCCCTCCCTCTGCCTGCCTCCCTGCCTACTTGTGATCTCTCCCTCTCTGTCAAATACATAAAATTTTTAAAAATCTTAAAAAAAAGTCAAGAGGCTCTGCCGGGTCAGGTTGCTGGTGGCTAGGGTCAGCGTCCGTGTTTGAGACCCCCCTGCCGCCCTTCGAACACTTCCTTCTTTCTCTGGGCTGAGTCCCCTCCTCTCCCTTCTCCGCGGTCTGATTCCAGGAACACCGCTACTCGTCACAGGGAGCCCGGCCCGTGCTGCGGGGACGAGCACCTGCATCACGGAACCCCGAGGGCCCCTTCTGCTGGCCGGGCCGGTGTCGTGGGAGCCGCCCCGTGGCGAGCTGTTGCGTGCCGAGAGCCCGGGTGTGGCCGGGACGCTCGGGCCGCGCCCCCACGTACTGGGGTTGGAGGAGGGGCGGTGCCCTGAGACCACCACAGTCTCCCGTCCGACCAGAACGTGGAGTCGAGACACCCGGAACCAGGGACGCGCCCTTCGGTGAAACCGCGCCCCGAGGGCCGCGCGTGGGCGCCGAGAGCGTCCCCGTGGCCCTCCCGGGCCTGCCGAAGCTCTACGGGTCTGGTCAGTGCGCGGTCGGCTCAGATGGGGAGAATTTTTTTTGCGCCATTACTGGAGCCGGCGCGCAGCCCCGTTAGGTTTTTTTTAGGCCGCGGGGGCCCGGCGGGCTCGGTCGGAGGCTGTCGGGGCCGTCGGGGGTCACGGAAAGGGCGGTAACGCCGGCCGCCGCGGGAGCGCGGGTCACGGAAGCGGACGGGAGCGCGGTCCGCCGAGAGCCTGCTCCGCGCGCCGTTCGCTCCCGCGGCGGCCTCCGGGCGGCTCCGAGGGGTCGCCCCGCAGAGCCGGCGGCCGGCGTCCCGTCCCCACGCCCGCCGCTGGGTGAACCCCGGGCTGGTCCGCACCTCCCGGGGCCGCCTTCCCTCCTGCCGCGGGCGCCAGCTCCCTGACCCTCCGACCCGCCGGCGCCAGCGTCCGCGCGTCACGTTCGCGCCGGGCCTGCGGCCCCGGGGGTGCGGGCTGCAGCGGCGCGGGGCGTCGAGCCGGGTGGGGCCCCGCAGTCCCGGGGCTGCCTCCCTCCGGCGCGCACGGGCGGCTGCTGAGGCTCCGGGAGCCCTGGCTCGCCCGCACCTCCCCTCCCCGCCCTCCGCATCCGCAGCCGCCCTGCCCCGCCCCGCCCCGCGCGTCGGACGGACCCGCCGTAGCTCCCACCGCCCTCCCGGCCTGCAGGCCCCGCCCCCCGACGTCGCCCCGCGGGCCCCGGCCTCTAGACCCTGCCCCGCCCTGGCCTATGCGCACCTCGCGTGAGGGGACGTCGCCCCGCCCCGACGTCGCTGCGTACGCGGGTCGCCCGGTGCCGGATGACCCGGCGCGCCGCATTCACCTCCCGCCGCGTGCTTCCGCCTGGTCCCACAGCCCCGCCCCGCGTCGCCCCGCGTCGCCCCGCGTCGCCCCTGCCGGCTCTGCCGCCGCAGCCATGTGGGCGGTAACGCCCCGCCGGTGCGGGTTTCGCGAGGGGCTCCGGGCGTTCCTCCGCGGTGGCCACGCGGCTCTCCCTCCGGGCGGGGCGCGGGCCCTGCGTGGCTCGCCGGTCTCCTGCGGCAAGAACCTACTCAAGAAATTCGCTTCGAAAACCAAGTAATGCGCACCCAGTCCGCGCGGGGGCGCTGGGGGTGGGGGCGGTGCCCTTATGGCGGAAGGCGACTAACTTCAGGTTGGGGGCAGGACGCAGCTACGGGGGATCTGTCCACTGTGGAGGGGGACGCTCCGCGGGGCGGGGCGGGGTTCCTGCTGTAAGGGGCGGGGTCCGCGGGGCGGGGGCGGGGTTCCCGCGGTAAGGGGTGGGGCCCAGGGGCGGGGACGGGGTTCCCGGTGGGGGGAGCAGGTCCGCGGGCGGGGGGCGGGTCCGCGGGGGCGGGGTCTGTGCGGCCCCGCCGGAGCCCCGTCGCGGCGTCGGCTCGGCCGCACGTCGGCAGCCCCGCTCCTGCTCGTTGGGTCGCGGTGGCCGAAGAGCTGCCAGTAATGGCGCTCGTCGCTGTTGGACGCGAGTCCGGTTTCCCGCCCGCCTGCTTCCCGAGAGCAGTTCTGGGGAGGGGGGCTCGTCGTAGGGGAGCCCGGGAGCGGCTCTGTGCGCCGGAGCGCCTGGCGCGGGGGTCCCAAGGGAGAGGGTCCCTGCGCTGCCGTCTGCGGCCTCTCCCGCCGCAGACCGGTTTTCCGAGACGGCTTCCCGGTGGCCGCGGCGGCGCGGGGAGCAGCGTCCCGGGGCCCCGCGCCCGCTCTGTGGCGGGCTGTGCGGCAGCTGGCCCCAGGGGCGAGCCGGGGTCGCACCCGCTTGGTGCCTGGAGCCCTGTTCCCGCCGCAGGGCCCCTCCGGGAGCGTCCCGCCGAGCCGGCTGTCAGGCCCTCTGGACCCGGCTTCGGTGCCCCGCGGCCCTGGGGCTTGTGCGCGCGCCGCGTGGGGTTGCAGGACTTCTCGTGCCCCTGCCACGGAGCCTGCTTCGGGCGGTCGCTGTCGAGCTCCCCAGCCCGTGGCTCCCCGTCTGCTCTAGGGTGGTGGGTCGTGCTCCGGCGTGTGTGCGGGTCTGCGACCTCGGAGAGGGTCTTGTCCTGCGGGTGCTTACGTGCGCGTGGACGTCGCGTGTCCAGCCAGTAATCCTGCTGCGCTGGGGTTGTCTTTGACCTCTAGGAGCTCTCTGTTTAGGGTCTCTACTCTGCCACACTCATCGTTTCGGGGTTTTGTGGTGGCTTTTAAGTTTAAAAACTTTTTTTTCCCTTAAGGTTTGTTAGAGAGCGAGCGGCAGCGGTGGGGAGGGGCAGAGGCAGAAGCAGGCTCCCCGCTGAGCAGACAGCCCGAGGGGGCTCCACCCCAGGACGGGGGATCCTGACCTGAGCCCAAGGCAGACGCTTCACTGACGGAGCCACCCAGGCGCCCCTAAAAACTTTTTTTTACCAGTTCCTCTCCCAGCCCTGCAGTCAGCAGTTCTGTGAGAAGCTCTGTTATTGCTGGATGTCATCAGAAATGATCATCTGGGGGCGCCTGCCGGGCTCAGTGGGTTAATCCTCTGCCTTCGGCTCAGGTCATGATCTCAGGGCCCTGGGATCGAGCCCCGCATCTGCTCAGCCTGGAGCCTGCTTCCCCCTTTCTCTCTCTGCCTGCCTCTCTGCCTATTTGCGATCTCTGTCTGTCAAATAAATAAATAAAATCTTAAATAAAAAAAAAATGATAACCTGAGAGCTGCGGTGTCTGTCCCTTAGGCCTTGTCAGCTGACAAAGCAGAAATTGCTTTTTTGTTAACTTTGCACGTACTCTCCCCTGCAAAGGTCTCTGTATGTGTCAGATACTCAGGGACACTGGAGTCCACACTGATGTCCAGCCCCAGTCCATACCCCAGGGCTCGCGCAGCTAGCTTTCCTTGCTTATCTGTAATCTCTCAGCGAAGCAGTGACCGCTCCCCCATCACCACCCGCTGTCCTCGTGCAGCCCAGCCAGTGTGGGGCCGCACACCCCGCATATGGGGCTCGCCTGTGGTTTCGCAGGCGTTCTGAGGTGCTCTTTCCGCCTTTGGGATCGGAGGTAGACCTTGAGTAAACGTTAGAAGGTTGAACTAAAATTATCTCTAAAATCATCTCCCCCACAGCCCCTGTTGTTGATTAGAATTCGGAATTTCTTAGTCCTCCGGTAACATCTATTTCTGTGCCCAAGTTTAGCCCTTTAGGAAGGATGGTGGTATCATACTCTTGAGTTGAGACTTATTTTCCTCAATTTGCCACCAGTGTCATCGTTCTATTTCTCCCCATAGAAAGAAGTTTTGGTACGAAGGTCCTTCCTTGGGCTCTCACTTGGTAAGTGCCGGGCGGCTTCGAGGGGCTGCTTCAGGCTCTGGTGGGTGTAGGATTCCAGAAGTGGGCAGAGCCCCAGCCTAGCAGTCCTTCCATTTCCACATCTGAGGACTCCAGGTCTGCAGGGGTGGGACTAGAGACACTGCCAGTGTAAATTTTTACTTCTTAGAAGAGTTTATTTATTTGAGAGAGAGGGAGAGTGTGTGAGTGAGCAGGGGCAGGGGCAGAGAGAGAGACAGGGAGAGAATCCCAGATAGGCTCCCCGCTACGCATCAAGCCCAACTCAGGTTTCCATGTCAACCCTGAAGTCATGACCAGAACTAAAACCAAGAGTCGGACGCTCAGCCAAGTCACCAGGTGCCCTTTAAAGAAAATTATTCTGCAGTATTCTGGAATGTCGTCTGTGGTACCAAATAGTAACATGGAAATGTCCGCTTGGTGTTAGCATCCGTGCGTGCGGATAGACTGTGGGAGTTTATGTACTAAGTGGCTTTTGTGTGTTAACCCTGAATTGTTTAAGAAGGAGAATGTCCTACTATGTAAGATTTTTTAGGTGCAGATACACGTACTGACAGTACTTTTAACTTGGGGGGACGCTAGGTAACGTCTAGGAGCCAGGTCTGTAGACTGCATCGTAATGAGCTGAGACGGCTGAGAGTAACGCCGGCTTGTCGTTGATGCCAGTGTGCAGTCCTCCCCAGCCCCCTTCCTGTCAGAGCAAATTTCGTGCGCAGGCGTGACACTGCCCTTTCTCTTCTGCGCGGAGATGTACAAGCCGTCCCGGCTGGAGTTCCTAACGAAGAGCACCTCGAAGAAGACCAGGAGGGACGAGCACGTGCGCCTGCGGGCTCTGAACGGCCTCCTCTACAAAGCGCTCACGGATCTGCTGTGCACCCCGCAAGTGAGCCAGGAGATCTGTGACCTGAACGTGCAGCTGTCCAAGGTAGACTCGGGCCGGAGCGCGGGGACCAGGCGAGGCTGCGGCCTGGTGCCTGGGGAGGAGGCCCCACGTCGGTCCTGAGGTCTGAGAGCTCAGGAGCCCCGTTAAGTGTCACCACTTAGCGTAGTGTAGACAGGGTGCGCGTGTCCGGGTGTGGGGTGCGGGCACCCACAGTGTTGTTGGGTGCGTGGGGTGGCTGCTTCCGTGCCTGCCTTCCTGCGCTCGGAGTTTAGCCAGAGGGACCCACGGAGGCGGAGCAGCCGCAGGTCAGGCGTTTCTGATGTGCGCTGTGGGAGCGGGTCGGGGACACCGAGGGTTTGTATTCGGGCGGCAGGAGCCGGTGGCCTGCGGCGAGGGGACGGGCTGGAGCACCTGCGGGGGGGCGGAGGTTGCCGGGTGCCTGAAGCTGTTCCGCTCCCGCGTGCCGGGTGTGGGCAGGCGCGGCAGCTGGAGGTGACCGGCGGCTGCGGTGGGGGGGCTCAGGTGTCTCTGACCGCAGACTTCTCTGCCTGCCGCGTGTACTGGAGGACCGAGGTCCCTGCCGAGCGGAACGCAAGCACGGAGGCCGTCCTGCAGAGGAGTGCCGCCCACATGAGGTGAGACGCCGTGTCCTCAGCCGCTCGCTTCTGCTTGCCTCTCCAGTCTCCCCGTGGTGCCCGAGTCTTTGCGCTTTTGAGCAAACTCTGGGAAGCGTACTCTTAAATTTCCAAGCGTGATTTTCATCTTCACGCGGGACATAACCTAGGACAGTGGTTCTCAAGGTGTGGGCCCAGACGCTAGGGGCTCCTGGCCGCCGATGTCCCCTTGGTCCTTGTAGCTTCCTGCCACCCGCTCGCGGGGAAAAGCGGCGCAGTTTTTCGCAAGGACATCCTTGGAGAATAAGCAGAAGTGACTGGATTCTTTCCGTCCTGACCGTGGGGCACATGTCATCTCAGTGTCCTGTGTCACGCAGAGCGAGCACCAGCTAGCCTGTGCTGGCACGGCACGGTCGCCTCGGGAAAAGGCACAGTTGCCCTGAGTGAAGCAGACACTCGTTCGCTGGAGGAAGCAAGTGAGCTCGCTGCGTGGTTTCAGATGTGGGCAGCTGGCGGACGTTTCCTCTAAAATGAGCAAAGTGAAGCTGTCACTTCAGGGAAAACAATGGACTGTTTTGTCGCCAGTGATAAAATTCAAGCCCCCTCCCCCTTTTTTTTAAGAGTTACTTATTTGAGGGGCGCCTGGGTGGCTCAGTTGGTTGAGCCGCTGCCTTCGGCTCAGGTCATGATCCCAGGGTCCTGGGATCGAGTCCCGCGTCGGGCTCCTTGCTCGGCGGGGAGCCTGCTTCTCCCACTGCCTCTGCCTGCTGCTCTGCCTACTTGTGATCTCTGTCAAATAAATAAATAAAATCTTTAAAAAAAATCCATGTGAACACTTAGTAAGCTTGTTATTGAGATGAACTAATGCATATTTTTCAAATTCTGAGTTTTTTGTTTGTTTCTATTTATTTGTTGGTGAGAGAGAGCGAGCACACTCAAGCAGGCAGAGAGGCAGGCAGAGGCAGAGAGAAGCAGGCTCCCTAGGGAGCCTGATGTGGGGCTCAATCCCAGGACCCTGAGCCGAAGGCAGCGGCTTAACCCACTGAGCCACCCAGGCGTCCCTCAAATTCTGAGTTTCAATTTATAGTGTGCTTGACGTGGACAGATACAACGCACGTTCATAGAAACCCCTTGCTGTCCTCGGTGATCTTTAACGGTATGAAGAGGTCTTGAGACCAAACGTCTGGAGAACTTCGGAGCTGGGCGGTAGTAAAGGGTTACTCTGTTTCCTCCTCAGTTTGAGGAAACGCAGAAACCTAACCAACCAGCACTCTCAGAACTACTGCTCTCCCCCCTGCTTCCCTCCTTTCTCTGCCCCTCTCACCTCTCCTTTGTCCATCGTACTCCGTTTTTCAGAGAAGGGGATGAGTCCTGTGTGGAACCAGTGTTCTTTTACGTACTGTCTGCTTCAGTTCTCCTGACGTCTATCCCAGGAGGTCCGAGGAGTCTCTTGCATCAAAGAGTGCTCATTTGATTTTTTTCTTTGTTAACAGTAACAGGAGAAAGATTTCCAAGTGTTGGTGAAAACAGTATTATTTTCTGATTAGTTTTAGGTCATCAGAAAACCCAGCTGAACAGACCATCCCTTTTCCCGGCTCTTGTGCTGAGCTGAGGTTTAGACTAAAGGCTTGGCTATAATTGCGTTCCAGGACCTGCGGGCACTGCAGAGAGGTTGTCCCAGCAGTGTCCTCGCCGGTGCTAATTCTGCTGCTTCGCCTCCGTCTGCCTGCATGAGCGGCCGTGCACACGGGGCTGTGCGTGCCCCTCGGAGCCTGAGGTCCTTGGCGCACTTCTTGGCCTTGTTGCCAGGGAATGTCCACCAAGCGGAGGAATGAGGCCTGGGCCAGCTGTCCGCGCCCAGACCACGCAGCCCATGGCCACTGCGATGCCCAGGAGGCATCCAGGCCAACATCAGGTGCTCGTAAGGCTCTCAGGAGTTGCGTTTGGGCAGTGAAGCAGTTATGATGTGTTCTGTATTCCTGGTGTGGTGTGGCAGTGGGCGAAGGAAGACTGTCTTGTGCTGACGTTTTCGGGTTTGAATAATGTGACAGCAGATCCCTTATTTTATTCCACGAGGTGAACGTGTGTTTTCTTCTCTGCTAAACTGCACCACTTGCACCGTCTCTCTCCAGGCACCTGTTGATGTCCCAGCAGACCCTGAGGAGCGTGCCGCCAATTGTGTTCATTCGGGACAAAGGAAACGCGGCTCTGGCGGAGGTATGGCTCTGAGAAACTCCCTGCGAGTAACAAGCTGACCCGACGAGTCAGATGATGTAGTTCATCTTCAGATGCTGGAACGATCATGGGTGTAGTTACAAGGAGTGATCAGTCTCCAGGAGTCTAACTGGAAAGTGAGGCTCCCAGGCCCCTGTCCCAGCCAGACTCCGCAGCGATAACCACTCCTCCTGGTCTTTAATGTTTACCACTAAATCTCTAGCTAGGAAACCAAGTGTCAGCTTCCTGACTTACAAACTGCCTTTCTCTCCGGATTTGAGCTACGTTACTTACACTGAATTTACACTCTGTTAACTGTAAGTTAATTATGAGGTTACAGGCTGTAAGGTGACATGTGCTTTCTTTCTGGGTGGTAGTTACTGGGTAGTTACTAAGGTGTGTTATACTTTTAAAAAATTTACGAAAACCCCAGTCAGTAGCAGTCGTGATGGTATGGCCAGGTAGCGGTTACTCACCACAGGACTAAATAGTGTCTTTTTCTTTGTTTTTACTTTTTTATTTAGCTTAAAGATTTATTTGAGAGAAAGGGCAGGTGCATATGAGCTGGGGTGGGGAGGGACGGGGCGGAGGGAGAGAGACAATCCTAAGCAGGCTGCCTGCTGAGCGCGGAGCCTGACACGGGGCTCAGTCCCATGACCCCAAGATGACGACCTGACCGAAACCGAGGGTCAGGTGCGCAGGCGCCCCAGGACCAGGTGGTATTTAGATCCACAGAGGAAAACAAATCTAACTGGATGTTTTCATTTTTTGTTATTCGTTATTTAACCAATACTGAAGGTACCGTACAAGTTAAGACCTTGACAGAGGCATGGTTTTGTTCAGGAGAAGAGTGATGTGGCCAGCGCCAGCTTCAGAGAGCCGGGCAGGATCCAGGTTGCGGGGTGCGCTGGGTCCATACGCGCACGGGACTCACCCAGGCACGGTTGGTGGAGCTGGCAAAAGGCGGTACCTCTCAGCGACGAGGAGAGTTCTCTCCCTCATGGCTGGTCCCTCTCTGGGGAGGTAGGGCCTGTCTGGCTCTGTGGGCCCCTTTGTAGAAAAAGTCGTTGGAAGGAGGGAGGTGCAGGGAGTGCTCAGAGCACCCCAGAGCCGTTCTGTCCCTAGAGAGTGTGCTGTGGGCTGTTTGCCACGGAGGCCACCTGGGCCTGCCCAGCGCCTGTCCTCCCGTGTCCTCGCTGTGCTGGGGTCAGAGAAGGTTAGGCGGCCTTCTGCTCGTCTTGTCCTCAGTTGTCTGTGTTCTGTAGTCAGAAGCAAGCAGAGGCTGGTCAGGGGCGTGGGGGGTCTCTGACCGGGGCAGGTGGTTCACTGAGGGCACAGTCATGATCGGCTCTGGCATAAGTCAGGGCAGCGTGTTTTGAAATAAGGATTAAAGTCGGCCCGCAGTAAAGAAGTTTGCATAGACACGTGCCGTTGGAATGGGGGTATTGGATGAAACTTGGAGTTCTGTGCCTGTCAGCTTGCTTCTGTCTCGCGTTGGTTGCACGTGTCGAAAAGTTGCCGGTGGTCGGAGGCGCGGGCTGGCCGTGGTTGCGGCGGCTTACTCTGCCTCCTTGGGACTCTCGGGAGAAGAGCAGGGATGAGCTCGGCCCAAGGCCCTCAGCGGAGCCGGTGTCAGTGCCGGCGAGCACGTGCAGCGGCCCAGCAGGAAACCTCGCAGATGCTGGGCTCGCCCTTCCCCCGGGGCGTCTCCACTAGTGAGCAGACAGCAGGCCGGAGAGACGCCGCGGGACGCCGTCCGTGCTGTGCGCCGAGCCGCTAGTAGCGGGAGCCGAGGGCACGCTCGCGCTGCCACTTAAACTGTGTGCCCCAGAGACGCACCCAGGGTGCCGGCGGCCGGGGTCCCTCAGTCAGAGCCCCGGGTATGCGTCAGGCTCCCTGGTGCAGGTTAGATCCCCGGGTGCGTGTCGGAACCCCTGGGTACGAGTCAGATCCCCGGGCGCAGGTGGGTGGGCGGACGAGCTCCCCTCACCTCGCAGGTGATGCAGAGCCAGAGAAGAGGCCATGTTCCCTGCAGTTCTGTTTCCAGGATGTTGAGCCAAGTGTGGCTCATCTCTGGTGACGGGAGTCAAACTGGTGGCCGCGTCTGGGGAAGGGAGTGAGTGGGAGGGACGTGAAGAGGCTCCTGGGGTTTGTCTCTGGAACGCTGGGGATGCCCGGGGGTGCAGTCCACTGGTGAAGTGTCACTGGGCTCTGCACGTAACGACTGGTGTCCTTCCCCGTGTCTTTCATTCCAATCAGAGGGTTTTCAAAAGGTTCTTAGGGGCGCCTGGGTGGCTCAGTGGGTTAAGCCTCTGCCTTCGGCTCAGGTCATGATCCCAGGGTCCTGGGATCGAGCCCCACATCGGGCTCTCTGCTCAGCGGGGAGCCAGCTTCCCCCTCTCTGCCTGCCTCTCTGCCTACTTGTGATCTCTGTTTGTCAAATAAAAAATCTTAAAAAAAAAAAAAAGGTTGATCTTACCATGATTTCAAAGGGAAAAACGTAAAATCTTGAAACACGTAAACTCTGATAGTGGCTTTGTGATTTATTACACGTTTGCTTGTCTTCCGGCTTGAGAAGCAGCCATCAGGAGAGCCCACGCGGGCTGCCAGCTCCTGTTCCGTCGGGCCTGAGCCTTCCCTGGAGAGGGCGTCCCAGCAGCCCGTGTCCTGTCTCAGAGGTCCGCACGGAGCCTCCTGTCCCCACAGCCTGAGGGGACTCGTCGGGATTTGGTTGCTTTCACATGGACTGCTGGGTAAAGGCTTCAAAGAGAAGCTTTAGTGACGCCTGATTTCCAGGCAATGTGCAGGGATGGGGGCTGCGTGCCTTTGTGCCCTGCCCCGCCCCTGCCCCCACACCCCTGCCCGCGGGGGCCCCCCAGCCAGCGGCTGTCAGGTGGTTTCTCCTGTTCAGATTCCTGGAGCTCTGCAGACAGAGGCAGACATCGGGCTTTACTGCTGTTTCTGAGAGTCGCGTCATTCACGTGTAAGTGGTTCCCTCCTGCTAAGTGACCCATTCACCTTTCGTGGACCTTGGTCTCTCTGGTCTTTGGCGGCAGTGAGTAAAGGTGTTGGGAACCGTGTGTACACGGCGTTCGTCGTTGCGTGTTTAGGTCCGTGTGTGGAAGCGGCGCGCGTCTGACTTTCGGAGCTGTGGGTCGGACGGAACTGTCTGGGCCACCGCGAGCTCCCGCCGGACATCAGGAGTCCTGCTGCGTCTGTGGTGGCCCCTCTGGCGGCCACACGTGCGTGTGTGTGACGACTCGCACTGGGGAGTGTCTTGCCACGCGCCTGTCGGCTGTTCTTTGTTTTGTGAGGTCTGTTCCAGGCCTTGGCGCAGTTCTTGAAGGTATGCCGTGTGGGGTTGTGCAGAACGCCTGTGTGTCCGGCGCAGGGCCCTTGGCAGGTGCGAGCAGTAGCCCAGGAGACGTCCAGTTAGTGCTCGTTTTGTGGCTTTGTTGGACCTGTGTCTGGTCTTTTCTGTGGACTGACGTTTTCTCCTGGTTCTGCTTTTCCACATTTGTGGGCTTTATTGGTCCTCGGTGTGTGATGGCGCTTTGGGCTGCCGTGGAATGGCGGCCCCTGGTCCCGGACCCTGGCTCTCCTGGGCGTGCCGTGCCGCAGGCTGGGGTCTCGGGCGCACGTCCTGGGCGTGCAGGGCGGCGGGTGAGGGGTGAGCTGCCCTCCGTGGCCAGGGAGCCGGGCTCTGTGCGCTGCCCCACTGAGGAGAGCTTTCATTTCCTCTGAGTCCCCTCAGCCACCGTGGATCTGGGGGTCGCGTGACTGTGACTTTGTCGCTGGGCTGGGAGGCTTTCTTTCCGCAAACACAGATTCTGTGCAAAATCGAACTCTTCAGCGCTTCCTTAGGAATTAGGCATTTGAGCTAACGCTTACCTGACTTTTTCACAAGTTCGACGTTCGCAGGCTTTAAGTGCCGTTGGAAGAAGGCACCCGTTGGTCATCGGAGAACACGTGACTGTACGTGGCCGGTGTTTGAAAGCACCATCGCCGGGAGGTGTCGGCCGAGGCCCGGGTCCGAGTCAGCACGGCGCGGCTGCACACGGCCCACCGGAGCCGGGCTCTGATGCCCGGGGCGGGGCGGTGTGGCTCACCGGCTCACCCTCTGTCCGTCCTCCTCAGGTTGAGCGGTTGCTGGCTGTGGCCGATCTGGGACCCCGGGATGAGAAGGAAGACTCTGTGCAAGAGGACATCAGGTATGTGGGGACGGGACTTTGGTTCCTGGGATAGATGTGCGGGTGTGGGGCTGCTGGTTGCCGCGGCAGGTGCATTATGCCCTCCGACCCTGCCCAGGCCCCCAGCCTGTCAGAGGCCTGTGGCCGTTCCCAGTAGCAGCAGCTGCTGGCACCTCAGCATGGTGGCTGGGAAGGCCTTTGTGGTCGCCGCAGCGCCTCATCAAGGGAGGGCCGCTGTCCCTCCCTCAGCCTCTCTGTCCACTCAGCACGGTTTTCTTGGGTGCGCTATGTCCTGTCCTAGCACCCAGCGTCCGGGAACAGAACACGTAGTGGGCTCTTCGGAGCTCGCATTCCGCTGGGCGAGGCCTCCAGGGAGCCACAGACGGTCGTGGGTCTGGAAGGTCTGGTTGGCGGATCGGTGGGTGGGTGGGTGGGGGCAGCATTGGTTTTCAGTCAGGCCCTCACGGTCTGAGAAAGAGACGTGACGATCGAGTTGGGGGCCGTCGCAGGTGGGGGAAGAGCTCCAGCTGGCGCTCAGCCTCTGCTCCTTAACGCCGGGTGCCTCCGCGTCCGGGGTCCTGTCAGGACCTTGGGCGGTGCTCCCAGTCTCCAGCCTCAGGAGCATGGAGCAGGAGTGAAGGCCCCAAGCCATGGGGAGCCCAGCCCGTGGGGGTGAGACCTTCCGGAGCTGATCAGGAAAGGGGTGAGAGGCATGACTTGGCCAAATTTGGGTTTTGAAAGGGTCATACCAGGTCAGATATTTTCCTTTGGTTTCTCGGGGAGCCGGCCTGGTAGATCTAAACGGGCCGCAGCGGTAATTCTGTGAAACCGGCCCAGCACACTCGCTGTGGTTAACTGGGGGAGGAGATGGAAGACCCATCTCACGGAAGGGCTGCGTGGGACGGTGTGGGCCTGCCCCGCCCGCGGGCTCCGGCAGCACAGCAGAGGGGCACTGGGCTGGGGAGCTTCCTCGGACGTGGGCAGCCCACTGGCAAGTGGAGGGGGAAGGGGAGGAGCAGTGGCCCTAGGCCCTCACGGTCCTGACGCCTCTCGTGCTTCACCGGGTGCCTCTTCTCCCTCCAGCGGCCCCGGGGCCCGGGACGCTCCTGCTCCGCGAGGCACCCCGACCTCTGCCACATGCTCAAGTCTGTGTGGGATCGATCATGAGGCGCTCAACAAACAAATCATGGAGTACAAGAGGAAGCAAGGGCACAGGACCGTGAGTCCCGAGGAGTCGCGGCTGACGGCTGATCTGACGGCGGAGATGAGAGAGGGGAAGGTGGCAGCCTCACCCTGTGCAGATGGGGACCTCTGCCCCGGGAATCACCTGCTGGGGGCGGCGGGCGGCAACCCCAGCCCTGACCTGGGGGGCCCCCGGGGTGCGGACAGCAGCCCCAAGCGGCAGGGCGGGCGGCGGCCAGGGGCAGAGAGCGGGAGGTGGGGAGGGGGTGGGTCCTGAATGTCAGCTGTGCTGACGGAACCCAGGGCTCCTCGGGGGCTGTGCTGCCCCCGACACAGGTGCACTTGGACCTTGCATTGAGAAGGGCAGTGGCCGTGGGAAGCGTGGGACAGTCCGTCAGCACGCCGGCCGCCGTCGGTCCTCCTCACGAGTGCCTGCACATGCACACCCTGCACGGATGTGCGAGGGACTCGTGGGGACTCAAGGCTGTTATGCAGCCCCCCCACACATGGGTTTGTGGTTGGGACGGCCAAGCATCGTCACTGTGTTTGCACGGGTGTCCGCTCATGCCCTAAACGCTGTCCTCACGGTCAGTCTGCTGAAGGATGGCCCCACGTCCAGTTTCCCCGGGGCAAGAGCCCCGTGGCGTGCCGTGTCAGATGTGTGCTGTCGGAAGGATGTAGAATAAATCCTTACCGAGTCTGAGCTGAGTGTGGGGCTCCTCCCTTTCCCAGGTGTCCTCAGTGTCAAATGCTGATGGGTTGTCCCCGGAGCTCACACAGTCAGACTCGTGGGAGTGAGACGGGGCAAGGGCGCTGGTGGCTTGGCTGCTTGGGGAGCACAGCTTGCACTTCTGTGCCATCCCCCTAGCCGTGCGGTCCCCCAGCCGTCCGGGCACACCCCCCGTGCACCGTGTACAGGCAGGTGGCACCGAGAAGTGCTGGCTTTGCCCGCAGAGTGGCCCCGTGGAAGGGACACATCACAGGTCAAAGGCAGGACCACCTCAGAAGCGCTGGGCATGGTGGTATAGGGGTGGGTTTTTCGTGAGCCCACCTGTCCCACGGCACGCGTAGTGAGCATTTCACTCGGGAGTGCGCTTGCTGACTTGGCTCCTGTTCTGACCTGAGAAGAAACATGCAGAGGAAGCTGCACCTGTCTGAGAATACGTGTGCTTGGCTCTAGTCAGGTGTGCTGGGCGACAGACCTCGAGACGGCTGCCTGGAGAGGAGAGTGGGCCGCACACAGTGTTTCCTGGGGGTGAAGACGTGCCGCACCGCACAGGGCTCCTCAGGGAAGACCCAGGCCCGGTCAGGATGCAGAGAGAAGCCGGGGCTTCTGCAGGAGTGAGTGGGCTGGGGAGCGTAGCGTCAGCAGGCTCTGGGCTGTGGAGGTGGGTGCTGGGCCCGGGGGACGCGGGGCAGAGGAAGTGCTCTCTGGTGTGCAAGAACCAGGTAAAGGAGGTGGCTGGAGTGTGGGCTCTGGGTTGGTGGGTTCGCGTATACCAAGGTGAGCTCTGGGGTCAGCTGTTCACTGTCCCTGGGAGTTTGCTCTGGGAGGGCGGGGCATCTCCCACCAGCAGGCCCCCAGGATGTTAAAACGTCGCAAACACGGCGCATCAGAAACTAACCCAGGACCCTGCGGCACCCAGCAGCCTGCTTACTGATGGCCGCTGTGTGTCCACGCTGCCCAAAGTGCCCGGGCCCCAGGGCCAGCGGGATCGTGAGGTCGTGAGTTGTGTGGCGCACACGTCAGGGTGGCATTGCGACATCTCAGAACTGGGGACAGGGAGGGTAGGGGGCACAGGGCGCTGGCATGGTCTTTCTCTTCCCTCTCGTGCTGGGGCTCAGTTCTGTTGAAAAGTCACTGGTGGCTGGAAGGTGCGTTTTCAGACGTGGGAAGCCGAGCTCCACACTCTTCCTTGTCCCCTGTAAGTGCAGCATGTGCGCGGGGTCGGGGGCCGGGGCTGGAGCAGAGACGGAAGGAATAGAGCTTCCAGGCCAGGAGCAGCCTGTGGCGGTGTCGAGCCCGCCGGTGTCCTCCACGGACTGGCCCTCCACAGACACATCCTCTAGGGACCCGCCCTCCAGGGACAGACCCTCACCCTGCAGTGCCAGCGCTTGTGTTCTTGAGGGCCAGGGAGCATGACAGCAGGGCCGCCTCTGCACTTCCTGTCAGGAGCAGCGCGCCACGTGGACTGGGTTTACGGGGTGGGCAGGGACTCGGACGTAGCTGGCATGCGGCCCTCTGCACGGTTGTTTCAGAACACTTTCACTTACTCGACAGAGCGCGAGTGCAAGAGCAGAGGCAGAGGGCGGAGCAGGCTTCCCGCTGAGTCAGGGCTCGACCCCAGGACCCCGGCCGGGATCATGACCTCAGCCGAAGGCAGACGCTGCACCCACTGAGCCCCCCAGGAGACCCTCACTTCTGATGCTTTTAAGAGGACTTGGAGTTCCCGTTACTTGACATGTGTTCACAGAGTTCGGGGTTGGTGTGTGTGTAGAGGTTTGGGGAGCGGGCGTGGCTGCCCGGCGCCCTCCCCGGCCCTTCCTCTGGCTGGTCTCGGCCGTTTCCTCTCCACAAGAAGCTAGTGGTCTGCACGGGGGCTCCGGGCCACGACCACAGCCCCACCCTCCCACCTGCTGCGGAGCGACTGGAGATCCTAGAAAGGACCGAGTAGCGGGAGAGCAACTGAAAATGATGGACCGTTAAGCAACTGAAACACCTAATGGGGAGAAAAGGTGACAGGCTTCCATGGGAGGGTGGCCTCAGGGACAGCTTTGTCTGCCTCTGGAAGCGCCCTGATCTCCAGCAGGAGTTCCTCAGTCTCCGTCTGCCATCTTGGCCTTCTGGGTCCTATCAGGAGAATTGGAAATCTGCTTTTTTATGGCATCTTTTCTGTTGAGTTTGTGATCCATGGGATTTTTCAAAACATAAAAAGTATTTGTCATAAAGCAAGTTCAGGGCACCGCAGCTAAACGGGACGCATCTGAGCTCTTGAGGGAAATAGGGCTCTAGTTGCCCCGTGTGGTCCCGGGCCTCCTGGCACTGCACCAGCCTGTTGAGGCGTGGGGACTGGGTGCTGAGATCCTGTGTCCCAGGGTTCGCTCGTTTTTTTCTTTTTTTTTTTTTTAAGATTTTTTTATTAATTTGACAGAGGTCACAAGTAGGCAGAGAAGCAGGCAGAAGGGGGGAAGGAGGAAGCAGGCTCCCCGCCCAGCCGAGAGCCCGATATGGACCCCGGGATCATGACCCAAGCCCAAGGCAGAGGCCTTAACCACCCCCCCAACAGGCACCCCAGTTTGCTCGTTTCTTAATTGAGAGTCACTGGAATTATGTAAAGTGTAGCCCTGGGGACAGCGTGTCCTACGACAAAGTAGAACTCCAAGTTGCCTTTCGGTAGATTGAGAGAAGAACCAAAACCAAGTGAAGTTTGACAGGATCCGCGTAAGTTCCTGCGATGGGGCTTAAAACCTGTCCTGGCGGAGCTGGGGGCAGATGTGGCTGTAGGGGCGTGGCTGGGGGGACAGGTGTGGCTGCAGGGGCGTGGCTGGGGGGGCAGGTGTGGCTGCAGGGGCGTGGCTGGGGGCCTGGTCCCAGTCCGCACTCAGGTGCCCATGGCGGGCACCCGATGCACAGTTTGTGGAGCTGCATTCCCGGAAGACCCCATAGTGGGGAAGGTTGCCCTGGGGGCGCTGGTGGGGGAGGCGGAGGCAGGGCCCCCGCAGTGGGGAGGTTACTCCGTGTTGGCAGGGAGCCGGGGCCAGGCCGCAGATGCCAAGCGCAGGGCAGAGTCCCAGCCCGCCCCCCCCGAACTCCCAGCCTGGACACCCCTTACCCCCCCTCAGAGTCCACTTCGCCCCCGTGCGTTTGCGTCGCGATGTTTCTTCTGTTCAAGTCAGAGGTTCCTTGCTAATCGTTCCCCTTCCACACTTGACGCCCCTTCCCCTTTCAGACACGAGCCCCAGCCCCCGGCCGCACCAGCCTCCCAGCCAGCTTCTCTCGGGACCCTGATGGCGCCACAGGTGCCACGGCGTTCCTTGGTGTCGTGCCTCACTCAGTCCTGTTCCTCGGACTGGATCTTGGCACATTCTCTTCCCCTTTCCTGCCTTACCTGGGGAAGTCTTTGTGAACCCCCAGGTCTCGGTTCAGCCCCCTGCGTTCCCACAGCTAAGGCCTCACAGCCGGACTGCTGAATCAGCCTCTTGCCTGCCTGTCGCCCAAGGTTTCCCAGGCCAGAATGTGGCATGTGTTGTTCTACTGACTAATGGACTGTTGGGGTCTGCTCCAAGGTCATGGCCAAGTGTTCTTGCTGGCTCAGGGGGGAACACGAACAGCAAACGAAGGCACGGCCTGGGGCCCCTTTTCACTCTGGGCCTGAGAAAAGCTGAGGCAAAGCAGAGCACAGGGCCGGAAACAGAACTGCAAAGGAGCCATTGGTCACTGGGGTTGTAGCAGAAAGTCAAGGTTTCGAGAGGTTTCACGCATTCAGGGAGAACACGGGCACGCTGGATCTTCCGGGTCCTGACCGCAGAGCTGGGTCTTTGCGGCTCCCACCGGGAGCCCCTCCTCTGCAGCAGTCATGGTCGCCCCAGCTGTCTGCACTAGCCGACTTCCCTGCATCTCAGGGCAGCTTCCCTTTTCACCCCCCCCCCCCCCCGGCCCCTGCCAGTCTATGTGGTTTCTGCAGGAATCTTGATGGCCGTCCTGCCACTGAGCCTTGATTTCTGGAACTTTGGATCTGGGTGAGACGAGTGCCAGGGTCTTGGTTTTTCCATCCTTGAACAGGAACCTACAAATAGGCCTGTTTCCTGGCAAGACTGTGGCAAAGTGAGATGTCAGGAGTGATTTTCTGTCTCCCTTGGGCATGGGTGCACCCAGTTCCCCAGGACTTGTCCCGTGAAACTTAAAAGCCACAGCTTCCATGCTGCTGCTTTCCCTGGAAAAGGACGAATTCTGCTACCCAGGCACCTGCTGGGATGACCACACGCAGCAGACACGTGGCTCCCAGCATCCAGTGTCTCACTCTGCTCCTGTCTGGGCGCACACGGTCCCTGACGGCGTCCGGGATCCGACTGCCTGTCTCAGCTCAGCGCGGCCTGTGCCGGGAGATGGACGTGATCGTCTCATGCAGAATAAGCTGGGATGACACGCAGTCTGGACGCAGACGCCACTGAGCTCAAACCCAGAGTACCTGCTGCATAGGGGAGCAGTCTAGTTTCCGTTTGTTTCTAAGATTGTATATGAGAGACAAAGAACGAGTGAAGGAGAGGGAGAACCAGGCTCCCCGCTGAGCAAGGACCCCCCCCCCCATCCCGACGCGGGGCTCGATCCCAGGACCCTGGGATCACCACCTGCACCGAAGGCAGACGCTTCACTGACTGAGCCACTGAGGCGTCGTCCTTCCATCTATTTTTTAAAGTAGGTTTTCAGTAACCGAAGACAGAACA